CTCCTCCTCCTCCTCATCCTCCTCCTCCTCCTGCTCTGATTGCTCTTCGTCCTATTAATCGTAACATTATTATTATTAGTATTATTATTAGTATTAGTATTATTATTAGTATTATTATTAGTATTATTATTAGTATTACCATTATTATTATTAGTATTATTATTGTGATTCATATTAATATTATTATTAGCATGAATATTAGTATTAGTATCATCATCATTATTATTGTTATTATTAACATTATTATTATTAATAATACTATTAATTATTATTATTATGACTACTATTACTATTATTATTATTACTATTAGTACTACTACTATTATTATTGTTATTATTAGTAGTAGTAGTAGTAGTAGTAGTAGTAGTAGTAGTAGTAGTAGTAGTAGTAGTAGAAGTGCTCACGTGCCCTCCTTTTTCACGCGCTGCTGCACGAGGTCGCTTGCGCGGACGTGCTGGCCCAGCCGGTACGGAGGCACGAACCTAGCACGATGCACTAGAATCACTATTCATAGTGTTTACTAGCATTCTCATTATTACTAATATTATGCTTCTTACTTTTATTGGTAGTATTATTCGTATCACTAATAGTATTATGAGGATTATCAGTATTCCTATTATTCTTCTCACTCTTATTACTCGTCGACGTCTTAGTATTCGTCTTATTCGTCAGCTTCTGCATATAATTCTTATGCATCGTACCCTTAGATGTATTCCTATTCTTCTTCTTAGTATGATTATGTTTCGTATGCATATTAGTATTAGTATGTCTCCTCCTCCCTGCTCCTCCTCTTCCTCCTCCTTCTCCTCCTCCTCCTCATCCTTCTCCCTTTCTTCCTCCTCCTCCTCCTCCTCCCTCCTCCTCCCTCCTCCCTCCTCCCTCCTCCCTCCTCCTCCTCCCTCCTCCCTCCTCCCTCCCCTCTCCTCCTCCTCCTCCTCCTCCTCCTCCTCCTCCTCCTCCTCATCATCATCATCATCATCATCATCATCATCCTTCTCCCTTTCTTTCCTCCTCCTCCTCCTCCTCCTCCCCTCCTCCCTCCTCCTCCTCCCTCCTCCCTCCTCCTCCTCCCTCCTCCCTCCTCCCTCCTCCTCTCTCCTCCTCCTCCTCCTCCTCCTCCTCCTCCCTCCTCCTCCTCCTCCTCCTCCTCCTCCTGCGCCCTCCTCCTCCTCCTCCTCCTCCTCCTCCTCCCCCCTCCTCCTCCTCCTCCTCTCCTCCTCCTCCTCCTCCTCCTCCTCCTCCTCCTCCTCCTCCTCCCTCCTCCTCCTCCTCCTCCTCCTCCTCCTCCTCCTCCTCCTCCTCCTCCTCCTCCTCCTCCTCCTCTCCTCCTCCTCCTGCTCCTGCCCTGCTCGTCTCCTCCTCCCTCCTCCTCCTCCTCCTCCTCCTCCTCCTCTCCTCCTCCTCCTCCTCCTCCTCCTCCTCCTCCTCCTCCTCCTCCCCCTCCTCGACGGCTTTCCAGGTTGCTCTGGGTTCCTGCGGGGGGGGGCTGGGCGCTTTCGGGCCTTGGGCCGCCCGCCTACATGCCGAGGGCCGTCGCTGGGGCAGCCTTGGGGTCACTTCGAGCCGAGTGGGCAGAGGGCCCTCCGGGAGGCTCCTGATGGCCGCAGCCGGATACGCCTCGTGCCGCTCGCGAGGGATGCGCTCGGCAAGGGGGGGGGGGGCTCGTGCGGCGGCGCCTACGGCGCCGCCCTGGACCCCCCTGGCGGCGCCTCTGGCGCCGCCCCTGGCGCGCTCCGCGCGCCAGGGAGAGGGGTCCAGCACCGACCCGAGAAATCCGCGAGGACCTCCGAGCTTGGTGCACATCAGATGGATCGGCGCGCGCGACCACCATCGCACTCTCGCGACCCGCGCAGTCAACCCAGGCATGCGACGTCCCGATTCTTTCAGGACGGCGTCCCTGGAAGTCCCGACCCTTTCCCCGGGACCTGTTTTTCGTCCTGAGTCGTTTTTTGACGGTCCCGAGGCCCGGCGAGGGCCCCTTGAGGCCGAAAATCGCCAAAACCTCCCGTCCTGATTGTTGTTACGACGCGAGCATGTCTGGGAAGCGAGGGAGGGGATGGGAGGGCAGGGAGGGGAGGAGAAGGAGGGGGAGCAGGGCGAGGATTCGACCCTGGAGCCTAACCAGAAGCAGCAGTGATGTGGCTCGACTCGACGGGGCCGCACGCGAGCCCCCACCCCCACGGCCGAGAGCTCGCCGGGCGTACGAGGAGAAGAAAGGAGGAGGCTTCTTGGACGGAGGCTTCTCAGAAGGAGGCTCCTTGGACGGAGGCTTCTCATGAGCAGGGGTGTTTTCTGAGAAGCCACCCCCCGGCCCCATACCCCCTTTTGTGCGCGTGGCCGACGAGGTGCATCACTTTCCCAAAGATCCGACGTTGTGATTTTTTCAATGCGGGGTCCACGGAAGCCTCGACCCATTCCCCATGACCGGCTTTTCATCCTGGGTCGTTTTTTGACGGTCCAGGGGCCCGGCGAGGGCCGCTAGAGGCAGAAAATCCAGGAAAACCTGCGTCTTGATTTTTGTCAGTGCGTTGGAGAACTGGGTTCGCGCTCTCGGGCAACGACAAGGGGTGCAACCACCGGGGGGGGGGGGGGGGGGGCGACGGGCGGGGGCGAAGCAAGGGGGGGCCCCCTCGTGCGCCTTCGAGGCCCCCGGGGGGCCCTTCGAGGGCCCCCCTTCTGCGGAAACGAAGCCTACACACCGACGCTTACGGTGGAGGTTTTAGATAAGGATACCTTCGATAATAGAGAGCAGAAAATCCACCCCCATAAGAAACACCCCGACAAGCGAAGCCGTTTAGTAAACGCGCCCATGGAAGGAATCGAACAGGGCAGGGCTGTTTAGTAAACGCCCAGGGCTGTTTAGTAAACGCGAATTGTCGGGGTCGGGGTGGTTTTTCCGTCCTTGAGATAAGGAGCCCAAGGTCTCGCGCCGATGGGGTGCAAACGTGGACCACACACCTCTCCGTCGAAACAAGCAGGAGTGCGCCAAAGTCTTGGCCCCAGGAAGGCGCTCCTGATGCAATGTCGCTGCCGGTATTCCGGCCCTACACTGAGATACGCACAACGAAGCGGATCCTGGTGAATACGGGACCCTGGTATATATATATATATATATATATATATATAATAATATAATATATAATATATATATGTATACGTTTTTTTGTGTTTCCCCAGGTGGCGGACAAAAAAGGTACACACCTCACGACCCCGACGTCGCCCCCGACCCTCAAAGAGTCCTGGGATTGACAAACAGCCCGCCACTGGAAATGTATACGTATGCTCTAGATTCCGACCCTGGTGCGGCCCTCGACCCCCCCATCATCCATGTATCGCCTCCCGTTCATGACGAACCGCCCGAGCCAAAGGAACCCCAGGGGGATAACGGCAAGTATGGCGACCCCAACCCCCGACGTTGCGGACTATCTGGGTCGACGAAATATCTGAAGCCACGCTCGGGGATGCACGACGGGGGGGGCCAGTCCATCCTCTTACACGGTGAGGGCATTCGATACGGAGCCATTGAAGAAATAACCCAGGGTCTGGAAGCCGGTGGCACACCAACTGAAGCCTGGCCACGGCGCGAGCGCACCACACGACACAACATCCACATGCTAGGGCTGAGGCGGGCGGCGCACATGATCACTTTTGCCATCACTTGCCCTGGTCCTCCGCTTAGTCCTCTGGCTCCGCACTCCATGGCCCGACGACTCACAAGACGGCGTGAGCAGGCGGTGGCGTGGGAGGGGGAGGAATCTCAGCGGGCGGCAGCCCAACGCCTCCCTCCTCCTGCTCCTACGGGCGTCCTCCTGTTCACCCAGCCGACGTCGTTCGAGCCCAGGTCGTCGGCGAGGATCAGGACGATGTTCGGCGCCTGGACTTTATCGGAGGAGTGACGCGCTCGAGAGAGCCCGATACCTACGCAGGAGCACAGGCGCCAGCAGAGCGTGGCCGCAAAGAGGGCGCGGGTGGAGCGGCGGGCTTTGGGGCAGACCGCCAATGATACAATCATTGTGCCATGGAACGCAGAGGGGCTCATTAATCGGGGAGCAGAGATGGCAGCAATGGCACTCCGCCGCGGGGAAGCCAATAGTTATTGACTGCTGGAGAGAAGCACCACTCGTCGCAGCAGCTTCCTCGCCCCAACCTTCAGCCTACAGTCGGGACGCTGTCATAAGGAACCCTGAATAAGGAACGGGGCTCCTTTTTTCGGGAAGTTGAACTTCGATCTCGCAACGAACGCCTAAGGAGAACCTAAGACAATCTGTAAAGGAGTTAAGGAACACTGAGCCCCTCCCCAGCGAAAAGGGTTCCTTCTTCAGCGCCCCGACTGTAACGCAGCACTCTTGCATCGCCAACCGTGGGGTGGCATTGATGCCTTCTTCCCCTCCCGAGCGATGTGGGCTCCCTCTGTGACCTGATGTTGAGCCCAGGCAGCCACGAGCTCTCGCCTGCCTGCGCGCGTGCGTGACCGCCCGAGCCAGAGGGATGCCTCCCTCAACCTCCTCATGCTGCGGTTCCTCGCCCGCGTCGTGCCCGTCTTTCCGGCTTGTTTTACGCCCCGGGTTTGCAGCGTCTGTTAAAAACAGGCCTCATTAACTCCTCTTCGATATCTCCATAACATACAAGACAGGACAGAGAGGCAAGCCTGATCCAGCAGCAGAAGCAGCAGCAAGAAAGTAGAGGGGCGACTCAGTGACAATGAGAAAAAAGAAGCAGAGCATCCAGAGAATGCTGCATGGCCAGGTAGCGCAGGGAGCCCCATGGGATGTAACAACTATCCAGTGGGAAAATGCCCTCGACGAAATTCCGTCCTCCCGACTCCTCCAATCTGCTCCCAAGCTGGGATAACCGTGGGGGGTGCTGAGTGGATAGGGGGTTTCTAAGTGGATGCCAAGGTGGGTTATACCTGGCCCAACCTGGCTTGCAAGTGGGTTACACGATCCCCGAGTGGCTTAGGGGAGTGAGATCACTGCGCTCAGTGGGCGGAGCCCACTCAGCCCCCCTGAGCTATTTCGGAGCATATGTAGCATACTTATAAGCCAGGGTGAACCAGATACCAGAAGAACAAACAATGACAGAAACATGACAACTCGGTGGCCCGCGCGGATTTCTCGGATCCGCGCTGGACCCCCCTTCCTGGCGCGCTCCTCCGAGTTGTTATGGTTTGGTCGTTGTTCGTTCCCCAAAATCCCAGATATAGCCCACCTTGGCATCCACTTGTGACCTTCGATCCACTTAGCATTAGGTCGGGCGTGTCCGCCTACAGGGGGGCGTTGAACAAAAAATGGAAAATTGACAAACATGTGCAAACACTGTCCTAAGGATCGAAGAAACATCGCCCCAGACTATGTTTATTCTATGTTTGAATCTTCCTCCTATCCACTTAGCAACCCCGCGGCGGGCGGCGGGTCTGCGAAATAGGGCCCCCGGGAGCGCACGCGCGGGCCCCCCGCCCGCCCCCCGGCGCACCCAGGCGCCCAAGAGCAGAGAGCTCAGTCGGTCAAGAGCTCCGCCTCCCTCCTCCTCCTCCTCCTCCTCCTCCTCCTCCTCCTCCTCCTCCTCCTCCTCCTCCTTCTCCCCCCTCCTCCTCCTCCTCCTCCTCACCTCCTCCTTCTCCTCCTCCTCTCCTCTTCCTCCTCCCTCCTCCTCCCTCCTTCTCCTCCTCCTCCTCCTCCTCCTCCTCCTCCTCTTCCCTCCTCTTCCCTCCTCCTCCGTCCTCCTCCTCCTCCTCCTCCTCCTCCTGCTCCCGCTGGGGCCTCGGTGGAGCTCCCTATGGGGCCACGAGCCGTTGGAGGGGTGTGCCAAAATGAAACGGCGGTGCCATGCGGACGCTCCCGCTGAGGCCTTCGGTGGAGCTGCCATGGGGCCACGAACCGTGTGAAGGGTGTGCCAAAATGGGGCGGCGGTGACATACGGACGCTCCCGCTAAGTTCTTCGGTGGGGCTCCCTATGGGGCAACGAACCGTGTGAGGGTTGTGCCAAAATGAGGCGGCGGTGCCATGCGGACGCTGCCGCTGGGGCCTTCGGTGGAGCTCCCTATGGAGCCACGAACCGTGTGAGGGTTGTGCCAAAATGAGGCGGCGGTGCCATGCAGACGCTCCCGCTGAGGCCTTCGGTGGAGCTCCCTATGGGGCCACGAACCGTGTGAGGGTTGTGCCAGAATGGGGCTGCGGCGCCATGTGGACGCTCCCGCTGTTGCCTTCGGTGGGGCTCCCTATGGGGCCACAAGCCGTGTGAGGAGTGTGCCAAAATGAAACGGCGGTGCCATGCGGACGCTCCAGCTTGGGCCTTCGGTGGAACTCCCTATGGGGCCACGAACCGGGTGAAGGGTGTGCAAAAATGGGGCGGCGGTGCCATGCGGACGCTCCCGCTGAGGCCTTCGGTGGAGCTCCCTATGTGGCCACGAACCGTGTGAGGGTTGTGCAAAAATGGGGCGGCGGCGCCATGCGGACGCTCCCGCTGAGGCCTTCGGTGGAGCGCCCTATGGCGCCACGAACTGTGTGAGGTGTGTGCCAACATGGGGCGGCGGTGCCATGCGGACGCTCCCGCTGAGGCCTTCGGTGGAGCTCCCTATGGAGCCACGAACCGTGTGAGGGTTGTGCCAGAATGGGGCTGCGGCGCCATGCGGACGCTCCCGCTGGGGCCTTCGGTGGAGCTCCCTATGGGGCCACGAACCGTGTGAGGGGTGTGCCAGAATGGGATGGGCATGCGGAGAGCAGAGGCAAGGGATGGGAAGAGGGAGGAGGGGGAGGAGGAGGGGGAGGAGTGGGAACGCGGGGCGCTGCTTCTCCAAAACGAGGGCCCAACACCACAGGATGGTTTGGAAAAAATGATGTTTCGCATGACCTGGAACGCCTGGTAGAACACGCATGCTAGCAGGAGGAAACGTTCTGCCTCGGCAGCGCACGGGGCGGCGAAGGCGGTGAACGCGAAGGATTCGGGCCGGTCCGAGGCTCCAGATCTGGCCGAAACCTGCACGCTGGGCATAACGAAGAGAACGGGCATGGGCCGACACTCCCGCCAGCCCCCACGGCGCTTCCAGAGCGAATGGCGCTCCCCGCAGGAAGCCCCCCTCATGGCTCACGCCCTGTTTTCTGCAAAGCCTACCGTCGCCCAGGGTTCTCACCCAGCCCCCCTCCGCCCCCCCTGTCCGCACCCCTCTGGCCTGGACGGCTATCGAGAAGGGATGCCTCAGATCCGATTCCCGAGCGCTGCTGGCAAGCTGGGGATGAGAATGTGCGGTCTGACGGTCGGAAGGCAGAGGTCGGGACTGGGACCGCCGCCCCTCTCCTTCCGCCGCCGCCGGCCATTCGCACCCCTCCCCTCCTCATCCCTGCGCGCGCGGCGCGCCTGTCACCTCCCCCTCCTCCTCCTCCTCCTCCTCCTCCTCCTCCTCCTCCTCCTCCTCCGCCTCCTCGTGGTTCCTGGTTCCTGGTGGCTGCAAGATCCTCTGGATGTAGCCTCCACCCCAAGGGCTGCTCGGCCATGGGGGGTTATCCAACCAGGGTCAGGTGGTCCTGGTGGCTGCAAGATCCTCTGGATGTAGCCTCCACCCCAAGGGCTGCTCGGCCCTGGGGGGTTCTCCAACCAGGGCCAGGTGGCCGCAGGGACACCGCTCCCAGGGCCACCGGCGGCGCGCGCAATGTTACGCGGGTGCGTAAGCGAGAAAGGCAAAGGCAAACGGGTCGAGGAGAAGGAGGGAACAGGAAAGAACATGACCTCGAACATTCATTACCTGGGAGGGGGTATAAGGAGGAGGAGGAGGAGGAGGAGGAGGAGGAGGAGGAGGAGGAGGAGGAGGGACGGCTGGCTGAGAGTGCAGTTGCTGTGGCACAGGGCGCGCGCGGCGACATGTGGAAAAGTGGGGGCCCAAGGGCCCGGAACTGGGCCCTTCCCCATTCGGGTCAACTGGCCCTGCTGTTGAACCAGCGCCCAGGGGGGCGCCCTGGGTGCTCCTCCGCGGAGCGCCCAACTTGGAGGCAGAGGAGGACGGGGATGCCAGGTGACATTCAGCGCGGCGGAGACAAGGAGAAGCGTGGCGAGTGGCTCGGCGGCGAGATGGCGGCGGCCGCTGGCTGGCTGAGTGTATTGAAAATGGGTGACGGAATGGAGGCTGAGCGAGAGATGGGGGTGCTGCAGCATCGGCTATCGTGGTGATCCAGTGCCAGCTGGGCGAATGCCTTGGGGTCGTGGAGCTGCGGAGGGTCGGTCGCCTTCTCTGCGGCGGCCTGGGCTCGCTGCTTTTTTCCAGGTGGCGCATTGAGCGAAAATCTTCCTCTAGGCGGTTGGGTCTCGCGATGGTGTTGTCGAAACTGGTCGTCCTGGTTGCTTTGACGGGTTGTCCTGGTGCCGGTGATCGCTGTGTATTGGAGCCCGTGCCCGTGCCGGTGCAGCTGCGGTCGGTTGGATCTTACCATTGGGCCGCTGAGCCACGGCGCTGCGTCTCGGTCTCCGGTGGCTCCGCGGCCCCGCCAGAGCCCTGGGCGTTGATCAGCTCGTTGGTCTTCTCGATGGCAGCCGTGTGTCCCTCTGTAATCTCGTTGTGTACAATGGCACGCGCTGTAATGTGCGGTTGTAGCGCGTGCCCAGTTTGAATCGCATGGGCAGGCTGCGGCGTTGGTAGTTCACCGCGGCTGGCGTCGGCGCGTCGCCGAAGTGGTCGTCAATCTGGCATGTTAAGAGCGATGCGAACTGATGGTCGACGAAATGGGCGAGCAAGGTCTGCTTGTGCGTCATCACGACAGGGCGCGCTTCCAGCCCCAGTAGCCCCTCGTGCCTGAGGACGTAGTTGAGCGACGATTCGACATAGCTCATGATCATGTCGCATTCGATGTGCACGCTGCACTCACTGTCCTCGACTAGTTGCCCCCA